TTACATTCATCAAGAGCTTTCATTTGAGTACCCACATACATTTTTTATATATTTTTCATATGTATATATATATAATATATATAAATATATGAAAAATTGATGTGGGTACTCAAATGAAAGGTCTTGATGAGTGTAACATCGAGATGAGCTTATATCTTTAAAAATGTCAATAATTCACGAAATACAAGATCATTTATTAATTATATATCTAGAAACAGAGAATTTTCGAATGAAGCCTAAATACTTATCATAAATTGACTATTAGTGAGAATGATATGAAACCATGAAGAGGCATAACTCCAGGTCAAGACTTTTTCACCGACATCAAATTTAACCATAAAAACCCATTTTATCATATAAATACACTGGCCACAAAATTTTGCTTCTCTTAATAATATAGATGACATGTAATAAAATTAAATCTGTCGAATTTTGGAAATGACATTTCATTTAATTAATGTAAAGCGATTGATTAATATATAAATATATTAATCGATATTTTGTCGAATATATTTTTAGATTCTTCGACTTTGTCAAAATCTAGGCCAATGGGAATTTACGTAAATGCAAACGGTACTCGTATCTACGGTCATTATATTTTAAAAAACGATAATAAGTCTTCAAGCGTAAGCCCGGATAAAAGTAAAATTAAAAAAGTAAATCCTTCTGGGTACGTCGGTTCGAATTATTACAACATTACAAATATTAATGGATCAAAATGGAAGCCTCTTAATACTTCATATTCAGACACTCATCCTGATTTGACGAGCCAGTTGAATCCACAAAAGCATTACCAACCATGGAAGTCCATTAGCCACTATAATAAGACGCAATATACCATGAACAACCACTTTAATCAGTCTCATATTGGATGGGAACCTGAGAACAAAACAAACAATCATTTATACAACCATAACACACGTACTTATACAACTTCGGAGGAGCCGATTCGCCGTAATGAAGCCAACAATGTTGGTAATTATAATGCTCACAATGGAAAGCCTATTTCTAGTACTGCTAGTACACCAGATGCTTTCGGTTCGTCTTATTCACCCTCTGAAACTCCGTCGAACCGGAGAGAAAAAATTCTGCCCGACGGAGTAATGGTGCCTTGGGAAAAACCTGATACAAATGCGCCAGAGGTATCGATTGACGAGGACATTAATTATGGGTACGATGACGTGCTTGGAAACGAAAATAAAATAACTCCGGTGTCCGTTGGACCTAATATTGATAAATATGACGTCGATGTGCTGGATGTTGATACATGGAAGCCGAAAATAACTAACAAAACTTCCGGCAAAAGTAATAATGACGACAACAGCAGTATTATGAAGATTGATAACAAAGTCGTGGACCTGGAGATTTTTAACGTCGAATCGGCCCCTTGGCAGCTCAGTAAGTAACTTTCATATAAATAAGTAAGTACAGTAGCTAAGAAAATTCACTCTGGAAAGGCTCACGCTCATAACTTTTCTAGTCGTTACTTTTAAATGTTTTTTTGTTGACGCTTTTAATGAATTTTTAGCACTGCTTGCTTGCTAGCGGCACCAATCAACTTTTTATAGCAATTTTGTTTCTTTTCTTTGTTTTATTGTTAATAGGAATAAAATTTTTATTATTTTACAGTCGAGACCGCTTTCCCGGTTTACTATGTTCCGCCGCTTATTTCTCTCGGTCATACGAACGACAAATTAATTACTCCTTTATCCGGTCAGGTACTATGATTACATTTAATACTATGATTAAATATTAAATAGTTCTATTTTTAATTAAATCATTTTTTTTAACACGGAAAAAAGAAAAAGAGAAACATTACATTATAGATAGGAATAAGCGTCGCGTTAAATAAAAAACTAAAAAAATTGCAGTTCGAAATAACATTTTTATAAATTCAAACTTTGAATGTTAATTTTTATATTTTTGTATTTTACAATGTAATTCTTACAAAATCTGTAATAACTACAATCTGAAATTATAATTTTTCCAGTTTTTTATATAAAGCGCCCACGTTACATTATATAGAGTAATTTTTCTCTTTTTCTTTTTTTCGTGCAGTTGCGTTATTAAAAGTTTAATTTTTATTTTAAGATTGTGAGACTGAGAGGGGGTTCTAGCAACATAAATGGATATGTTGAAGTACAAGGTATCGAACCGGGTTGGGGAGTTGTTTGCGATACTAAGCATGGATGGACTTTAAAGGAAGCTAATTTAGTTTGTCGTCAGCTTGGATTTACAAGGTTTTTATTTATGGGTACTAAGAGTACCAGACATTGAGAATTTTTTAAGATTTAATAAAAAATAAAATATGTATGGGGTATATTGGGTCACAGTTTTTTTTTTTATTAATTTTATTATGTATTTACTATTTGCAATTTATTATTTTAATTTTTTTACGAAGAGAAAAATTTCTGGATGTCTGATAATCTTACACTGATAGAAGGGTTTATTTTTACCAAAAAATATTTGTTAATAGTTAACAAATCATTTATTAGCGACCACTTTTTAGTATTAAACAAATATTTCTTAGTATTTAAAATAATTTGTTTGTATTGAATAAATTTGATATCAATTTATTAAATATTAACAAATATTTTTAAGTATAAACAAATCCTTCTATCAGTGTATTGATTTAATTTATTACAAGAAAATATTTAGAGTATTTTTTATCAATTCAGAGGCGCAGAAACTGCTTGGCAAGGGAGAATAAAAAAAGACGAAAGCATCCCCGACTGGATTGCTGCGACAAGTGTCCAGTGTTTTGGGAACGAAACTAATTTCCAGTCGTGTAAATTTACCCACGGAAGTGAATGTAATATCCAGAGGGACGCTGTAGCAGTCAGTTGTCTGCCTAATCGAGTTGCTCATTGTCGCGGTGATGAGACACCTCACGATGGTAACTGCTATCATCTCGCCGACTCAAGCTCGGGATTAAATCATGCTGAGGCTTTGAAATACTGCTCCTCAAAGAATTCGAGACTTGTTGACATCACCACCCAAGGGGAGAATAATTTCCTATCTGAATGGCTGATACAGAGCCACCCGGAAATCGAGTCAATCATGACCTCGGGAATTGGGTTTACTACTTTTAATAGAACCATTTGGCTGTGGGAAGATTCCGCTAAGGCTAAATTCAAGTTAGTATTTTATTCTTAATTAATTTCTTCTTTAAAATAAATACTTAGTTACTTATTAACATGAATAAGGAAACTCTGGCTTAATGATTTTTTTATATTTATAACACTATACATGGTTTAAGTATTTTTAAAATAAATTTCAAAAATAATGGCGCTATTTTAGGATCAATTACAATTAATTTATTGGATAAATTTAATGGAACAAGTTTATAGAACCAAAAAACTATTAAAAACTCCTCCAAAAATTTAACATAAAAAATTGATTGTCACTAAAAAATATATAAAATCGTGAAAAGGTACTAATTCTTGTCAAGACCTTTCTGATAATACTAAATTTAAGTATAAAAATTCCTTTTATATTAATAACATGCTGGTCACAAAATTTTTCTTACTCTCTAAATTATTTAAATCATAAATAACTATCACTGAAAAAATATCAAACCCAATTTTCTATAAAGATATACCCGTTACAAAATTTTTCTTATTTATTTATTTATTAAATTTTAGCGTTAGAGCAAGTGCTTCCTAAGGATCATCATAATTAAATACATTTGATAATAAGTACATACAAAATTAATGTAATATGGCAATAATAGAATAAATTAATTATAGATAATATAATATATATATATATATATATATATAGTAAGTAATAATGAATTATTACTAATTCTCTTAGTATAATAATTATTAATTATTACTTAGTCTTTTAATTATATAAATTAATTTTTGACGTATTAAGAACTAATGTAAAAACTTATATAATAAATTAACTATTGCTAAAAAGCATATGAAACATTAAAAAGCTGGAGAAAAAATTTTTTTTATTTTTTTAATTATATATATAATTTCAAATTTTAATTTACAGGTTTTCTAAATGGTGGCCTGGCTGGAGAAGCGATAAGAAAAATCCACCGTGGGCGGCGAAAAAGGTGAAGAAGAGGGATGGACAAACTAACAGAAGGGCTGAGTATCTGAATCTCGCAGAGAGAAGAAGAGACTCGCCGGCATATGCGGCCCGATAAAATCGTATAATTCTTATTATGTTGTAGATATTTCTTCTGGGCAGGGCGTCTATAGACTGTACCTATCATACGATGGAACGTGGTGTGAGACGAAGATGAAGAAATAAAAAGTACAAGAGTAGATGGATAAAAAATCATGAATAAGGCATTTGCAGAGCAAGACCAAGAGCATCTCATTGGTGAACACACTGGTTTATAAGCTTAGAGAGGATAACTTCTATGCTGGATATGTGTTGTACACAAGACGGCTGAGATGTTGTGTAGAAAGAACAGAGTGATGAATCACGTAAGATCGTAATCAAACTGGGAGTTGGAATTGCAAATTGTCAAGCACCGAATGACAATGAGAGCAACCAGAACACTATTACACATAACAAAACAACACGTTTTCGTTTACAAGACTTGAAATTACCAATCGTTCGATTTAATGCTTTTTCTGGGTACAGTATGCAGGAAAAAAAATATTTGATTCAAGAAAAACATTCTTTTTAAAATTTCAATCTTACTTTTGAGAAATTTACGAATCGAATCAAGGAAATGAAACTTTTGGACAGAAAAAAATAGATCTTTTAAGAGCAAAAAGATTAAGAGTTTCGATTTTGAACAAAGCACTACTATTTTCAAACAAGATAACCGATGTTTCGCTCAAAAATTTCCTTTGGATAAAAATAATCAGTAACGTCGGCTCAAAATATTATCAACTTGTTTTAAGAATACTAAAAATCTTCAAATTTATTTTATTTTCTATACCTTCAAAAATAAATCTTATATAAGTTTAAAAATGGGTTGAAATAGAAAGTTTGTTTCTTTTTAAAGTATTTTTTGCTATTTTGAATGAAGAATCTTTTTTTTTTGAACCAAGAGTATAAAACTCTTGAAAAAAAAAAAAAGAAAGTCTTAGTTGAAAGGAATTGAGTTTTTTAATGAAAAATTTGATTGCATTGAACGAAGATAACATACTCTTGATCATCGAAGTTGTGGAATTAAGCTAAGAAAACTAGTTTCAAAACGAGAAATAATTGAATCAAGACATCAAATTCTCTTGAAAGCAATTTTAATTATGATGTCTCGAGGACAGTGGATCAGGTAGTAAATTGACACCGAATTAATATTTATGGCAATGTTTCGTAGATTTTATTTATAAAGAAGCATAATTAATATTCACTGTCCTCAAAACATGATAATTAATTTTTTTTACTATTTTCTGAGCCGGAATAATTTAAATCATTAAAAAAAAAAATTTTGTTTTCGAATTAACAAAAAATTTTTTTTTATGAAGTATTTTTTATTTTTTTTTTCAGTGTAAAAGAGTACTTTTCATCCTTTTGTGCGGTTATCTGGTCAAACATTATGCCGCATTATTGTACATTGTACAGTATGTACTTTCTATTTTCGTTCCATTGTCCTTCCAGGATAATAATAGTTAGTCAATGATGGCTATTTATTCATTGCGAAGATTAAAAAGTAAAAACGAAAAGTCGGTAGAACAAAGCCGTGGTAATCTCAACTGGGTTTTGTGGGTTGTCAAAAAGTTTCGGACAGAATTCAGCCGTTATTACCCAGATTAAGTGCGAGTCGAGAGCAAAGGGTGACTTAGACGGCTGTCTGCTGGCTGCTTTACTTATTTTCTGGTAAAACTCTTAAGTTAACCGTAAGCTCACTTGATGAATCATGGGTTCGTTCAGTTGGTTGTTGTCGTCAACGAGCGCCAGCATGCCACATAAAGAAAAGGAAATCGATACCGGGTTATGCTCTTGCTCTGGCTCGTTGGTTCTTTATTTCGTCTGCTATAAGAAATATATGCGATAATGTCGATTGTACGGTTAAATTCCTCGACAATAAACTTTTATTTCGAGCGTTTAATGAAGTGAAATGAAATGGATAGCGCTTTACCGGCTAAAATAAAATAAATTATGCATATATACACCAACATCTGGCCGGCACATGACTATTGGGATGACCAGCCTATGGAATATGTCTTTTAAAAAACTACTTTTAAAAAGAATGAGCATAATATTCGTGTTTTAAAACTTTTATGGTAAAAATAATCAATTTAAAACTTATAAAAAAAAGAACTGATTAATTTTTACAGTTTATAATGTAAATATTAATAGTTAGGTGCTTCGAGCAAAAAAATTGGAATAATTAAAGTTTTAATTAATATTTTTTCAAATATTAATTTTTACAATTTTTAAATAAATTTTTTACAGAGTTTGTAAAAATTCTATTTTGACAGTATTTTTTTGGTGCATTTAATTATTAAAATTTACACTGCATAAACAGAAAAATTTTTGAATCAAATGAAATTTATTTGACCTAAAAAAAATTTATTAAATTAAATTAATTTTTTATCAATGCATAATTTTTAAAATATTATCTTTTCTGTGTATAAAAAAAAAATACGAGAACATTTTAATATTTTTCAGTAAAAAACACTCGAAAAAATTAATTTAAAAGAAAGAATTTTTTTAATTCTTTAAATTAAAAATGCAAGCAAAAAAATTATTAAATGAAGAAATTTTTAAAATAATCTTCTTCAATTATTAATTTTAATCTGTGTAATGGATCAAAATATAATTTTAAACTATTAACTATGCTTTTCTACTCAATATTAAAGTATTTTCCAAACTAAATAACTCAATTTTTATTAATATCAGAAACGAGGACAGATCAAGCCTGGGGGTTTTAAGCTTCAGGCAAAAAGAACTTCGAAAAGTAAAACAAAGGCGAAATGAAGAGGATCTAATTGTACTATTTCGTGCAGTCTTTTAGATCTCGCGAGCGGACGTAATTACAGCGAGTCTTGAGAGCCTGACAAAAAGATTAAGAAGAGAAAAAAATGAAGATGATGATGATAATAATAATAACAATAAGAAAGAGTGGATGACACATTTTTCTTTGGCTTTATTCTCCAGACTGTGTGGGTGTATAAAGAGAGCAAACAACTGGTAAAAAAGTAAAGTACTGTGCCGCCGTCGACGTTTGAGTGAATGCGTGTGCCGGAACACGTAACAAGGGTTCGATGGTGCCGATACGAGGGTGGCGGAATAAAAAAAAAGCATAAGTGATTTCCACGTGGAATCCCACCGAACAGCAAAATAACGAGAGTTGTTTGAAGCTCCTATTCTGCGATCGGAGCCGTACCAAAAGTTTTTCATCGTTGTTCTGGATAAAAGTCTATATACTTTTATATATATAACCGCGACCCTTCTCTTTACTTGTACATCCATATTCTCCTTCCTCCACGTAACGTTGGTGTACTTCACGTGAGCACTTTTAGCCACCAACTTTTACCAACCCCGTACCTTGTACATAAATATATGTTATGTAATACATAATATATGTGTATATGTATATAATGCACGTGTATATTTTCGGGCAATATTTACCTCAGCTTAGTTACATCCGTCGAGCAAGACCAGGACGTTAAATTTATATATATGTATTATATTTATGTATTTTTAAGCCCGTCGCATATGTGCGAGGCAACTCGAGGGCGGCAAGCATCAATATAATACCTCACGGCTCGCTTCACCCGTATTATTTTAATTTTCTATGATGTACGTGGTGGAAGTTAAAAAATTTAATTACCCTAGGTGGACAATGTAAAAAATAACACATAATACATTATATTTTATTATATTATACTGCTGGTTAACTCTGTCTTTACGGGTTGTTACGTTAATTAATAAAAACGTATGCTGTGTTACGAAACTTTTTATTTAATGAGCGCAAACGCACACGCGGAGAAAACGAGTTGGAAATTTAGTAAATTTTATCGCAGTTAAACATTAATGCTGATGATACAAGTTATAGTTCATTTTTTACACTTTTGTTTATAAAATAAAGAGTTAAAAATTTTTACGGCAATAATTTTACTGAATTTTGAACTATACTCCATTTTTTTATAATGATGAAAAAATTAATTTGATTTAAAAGAAGAAATTTTAGGCCAAGATCAAAATTTCAGAAATAATTTAAAAATGAGAAATTTTATTTATTTAAGTAAATTTTATTTGATTCAATAATTTTTCTGATTGATTTAAGATGATAAAATTCTTTAAAATTAGTTGATTGATTAAAAAATTTTTTTAATTTATTTAAAAAAACTTTATTAAAAAAATTGCATTTATACTTTTTTATAATTTCCACGTGTAAAATTTTTTTGCGGTGATTTATTTGTTGAAAACACTTTTCTTTACAAAATGGAGTGAAGAGTTAAACATTTTTACGCAATGATAGAAGGATTTATTTGTATTAAATAATATTTGTTAATATTCAACAAATCATTTATTAGAGATCACTTTTTAGTATTAAACAAATATTTCTTAGTATTTAAAATGATTTGTTTGTATTTAATAAATCTGATATTCATTTATTAAATATTAATAAATCTTTTTAAATACTAAGAAATATTTGTTAAAGACTAAAAAGTGGCCTCTAATAAATGATTTGGTTGATATTAACAAATATTTTCAACTATAAACAAATCCTTCTATCAGTGCGTCAATAATTTTACTGAATTTTGATCTCTACTCTATTTTTTTATAATGATGAAAAAATTAATTTGATTTAAGAGAAGAAATTTTAGGCCAAGATCAAAATTTTAAAAAGTTTAATCAAGAAAAAATATTTAAAAAATAAGAAATTTTATTTATTTAATTAAATTTTGTTTGATTCAATAATTTTTCTGATTAATTTAAGATAATAAAATTTTTTGATTAAAAATTTTTTTTTTAATTTATTTAAAAAGAATTTTATAAAATAATTGCATTCATAGTTTTTTATAATTTCCACGTGTAAAATTTTTTTGTTAAAAAAAATCCTTAGAACTGTCAAATGTCAGTTACTTTTAGTTCCATTTATAAGCCCTATAATGTGATTTCTTATTTGATAAAACTCATTAAATAGCTGTGAAATTCAGTTGACAGGCCATTTAAATCAAAAATACACTTTCATTATATATAAATGACGATGAAAAAAAGTTAATAGATAATTTATTTGTTCGTTAATCATATCTAAAAGTTCCAATGACATTGATAATAAATTACACCCCCGATTCAGTAATTTAAAACCTTTTCCTCTAGTTTTCTCGACAATAATTTTCCTACCGAAAAAATACACTGTAATTGAACAGGGTAAAAAAAGAAGACCGCACCCACAAGAGATGAATCGAGTTTTATTATTAGACATTGGTCGGAGAAGACCCTGAAGTTATTGGTGGTGCGAAGAGTAAGTTATGGGTTTCTCAAAAGGTTCCCTTTAGTGAGAACAACCAAAGACAAGAGGAGAGACTAGACCCCACATATCGAAGTCGAAAATCGGCATAATGTGGGTCTGTCTATAATAAGCCAGCAGATAAAGAGAAAGAGTTGTTGCTGGTGGATGAAATGAGGTAGTAAAGAGACAGTAGTCCAGCAGACGGCGTTCCCCGTTTAGTTCGTTGCCCCTACTTCCATTCGGCTGCTTTTGATGCCAGCTGACGGCGCATTATTATTCCGTTAGCTGAGCGGAAGTTCGTTGTTGGGTAAATGCAACTATAGATTCAATATTCCCCTTTTTGCTTAGTATACACCCAATAATAATCATAATCATAATCACAATCACAATAATGGTAATAAAAAAAATAATGATGATAATATCAACCCATGTGTTCTCGATGGATATGTATGTTTGAATTGCGCTTGGCTAAATATTTTATGTAAGATTTAATACACTTGGGGTGGTATATTATTAAATTTATTATTATTTTTTTTTTTAATAACGTTTCATTTGATGTTTTTCTTTCAGATATAAGGCTGCAGCTAAACGAGCAGCTGAGATGTCTCGACGTGAGAATGGAGTCCCAGGTGGCCCTGGTTGCCGAACTGCAGGACTTCTTCCGCAGACGAGCCGAACTCGAGCTCGATTACAGCAAATCCCTTGACAAAATGGCGAGAAGTATACAAATGCGGCACAAAGAGCAAAAGCAAAAGTAAGTTGAGGGTTTAAATTATTGTGAGATTTAAATTAAAAGGTGTCTAACAATTTTTGAGATTTTTATAGACAGAAAAAAAATTTATTTGGTTCAAGAGAAAAATTATTTATTTACTGCAAAAGATCACCGATCGATAATTTATATTATTATTATCATTATTTATTATTTTAAGGCCATAGAGTCTAAAGTCGTAGCTTTTTGCAACCCTCCAAAATACATTACAATAAATGTAAATTAACGAAAATTAATAGTGAATTACAGTTATTGTTATTACAATATTAGGAATTGTTATCATATCAAACATTTTCCTCACTTAACAGACATTGTTATTGTTACATTAATAGTAACAATAATATATTTTAAGTGATTATTGAATCAAGAAAATTCTTTTGAAGAGTTTTATAGTTTTGGATTAAAAGAAAATTAACTGAAAAATTTTTTTATTGAATCAAATTAATTATTTTCAGTGCAACAAATAAACTAAAAAAAAAAATTATTTTAAGAAAAATTTGAACTTGTAATTTTTTTTCAATTTCTACATTTTGAATTTTTTACTTAATTTTTTTCATATTAATTTAATTATAAAAATCTAAAAAATTTTCAGATATTTAATAATTTAACTATCATTAAATATTTAAAATTTTTAATATTGCCGAATAATAAATTTATTAGGGCTTCTTTAGAGGTTTCCATCCTCTATAACTGGCGTAGCACTTATATAATAACTTGTAGCCACCGATCCTTGAATAATCCGCACGTAACCTTACTGTGAATAAATTACCGGTGTTGCTTACTTTCATTTTATTTATCTGTTTAATTTTCCCCACGTTTGCTGTTTGCTTCAGGAGGGAGCAATGGCCACTGTTCTCCAGCTACGCTTGCTGGCAGCAACTTGTCAATGAGACGAAAAATCTGAGCCGCGATCATGCCGCGCTTTCCGAGGTCTACAGCACTCACCTGGTCGGAAGACTTAATCAAGTCATCGAAGATGTTCAGCGAATTTACAGACGTGTATGTGTTTAATTTATTCATCCTATTCTCTATAATAAAATTAAATAAAATTAATATCTAAATAATTTTAGGTAATATTTATTTTTATAATGTAAAATAATTACAGTGCCGAGAAATTGGGTATGAAACACACGAAGAAATCTTGAGGGTACTTCACGAGCTTCATACGACGATGAAAACATACCAAGCTTATCAAGCTGAGTCACGACAAGCAGAGACAAAATTACGCGTTGCTGAACAACAGCGTAGTAAACTTGAAGTCACAAATGTACCGCCAGAGAAACTTGCACGTAGCAAGAAGTACAAGCTCATTGAGAAGGAAGTGACTAAGGTTTGTATATTACACATCGTAATAATAATAGTAATAATAATAATAATAGAAGTATGATGATGATGCTGTTCACTATTTTTCTTTAGATTACTTACATTCTATTCTATTATATTATATATTATATGTATGTACGGGTAAATAGAGGAAGAAATAGAATCCATTAACAATGAAAACAAGAGAAATGAGACAAATGGAAAAAGCGACAGGAGCTTTTGTTCGTGAATAATACAAGACTGACAGCGACGCGTCTCTTCACTTATGGTCACTGATTGCTCCGGTATAGCAGTCTAGAGTACGAGGGAGGGAATTCACGACAGAGCGCTGTAAATGTTCTATATAGCACATATATAAAAATTTTATACGAATGTGAGTGTGGATTGTAGGAATCACGATGGCCCTTGACACTGGAAAGGTCGGACGCCCTGAGCAATGTACTATCGATTGGACTAACAAAATTTTCGCTTTGGTAACCCGACTGTACGCTCAGTGTGTACAATGTACAATAAAAAAATTTTGTTGATTTAGCATTCACTGACGAATAAAAGCAGAGCTTTCAAGTTCAAACAGAGTAGGTGCATTAAGAGAGTTTACAACAATTGGTAAATACTTAATGGGTTTTAAGCAAGTGGGTAGATTACGATCACGCCTGGGATTTCATTGAATTATCAATTCGCATTGGCAGTTTGCTACGAGGGCGTGTGACGCAATACAATTGCAGTTATAAAGTAAACTGGGACTATAATATTGAGCGAAACTGCTCAATGCTGGTACATACAATGCTAAGCGGTTAATCTCTTTTATATATTCAAGTACCAGCTATGAGGCTTACGATTTGTGATCTCTGGCGTTCTTTCAACGAATACTACGCCGTAGTACATTTACTATTCAGATAAAACCAGGCCAGGAGTTTTAGATTAAAAAAAGTATCCTCGAAAAAAACAATAAGAAAAGCTCTTTGGCACGGACAAATATTCAGGGCAACCGCAGGATGTCCGAATTAGGTACTTGCGTCACACTAGTTTGCCAATTGTTCCGCTGCCTACTTTTTGCCACTGATGTGTTTCTCAGTATATATTTGTCGGAGAGGCAGGAATGTTTGTTGGAGATACAGCATTTTGTGGTTCACTCATTTTTATTATTACAATTAATTAATTAATATTCACAATTACAAGATCAATTAATGAGAATGAGTAAATAAACTCGTATAATAAAATAATTTATAATTGTTAATTATCAACACAGTAGTACGCAAAATACGATATAAGATTCATTTAATTTAGAACGCAAACAATATTAAAAATAACTGGCGATAGACCGAGACTTAGGAAATAACGCTCTATTTTACAAAGTATTAAAAGTAATAGTACATTTTTTAAATTACTAAAAACAAAAATATCCTAAAGAATATTCTCATCAATTCATCAGAAAATACTCTGCTGTACTTTATTCCCCGACGTATATATTATCAAACCAGTTCTCTCGCTTGCTGGCCCAGTCTTTATCACCGAGTATCTCTGTCATTGTCAGAATGTATACAAAATGCTACTACAAACCACGACGATCCAATGACCACGGTTTGCCAGTTTAGTTGATGTACGCCAGCTTGAAGGGTTACATCTTCTGCATACACACGGCGCTCCACATGACGTACAGCTCCAAGAGGCGCCTCGTATTTTAAGCGTTTCTTCTTAACGTTTTTTACATTTACACATATATATAAATTTTTTTTTGAGACTCTCATCTACATAATTTTTATTTTTTATCATTACGAGGCACTAAGCAGACGTCCGGAGATTTAAGTACGAGGTCCAACGGTTTCTCGACTTCCTAAACTCGGTGAAAATAAACAACTGCGGTTTTGTAGGGAGTTTATTCCAGAGTAACTGTCAAGACATGTGGTCCTACACCAAAATGATGATGATGATGATGATGATGACGGGGAGGAGGAGAGCTAAATGATTAACTTGCGCGTGAAACTCCCTCGCGATAAAACAACCACATATAAGAGGTTTTATGGGAAGAAAACAAGCATACAAGAAAGAGAGTTACTTAAAGTTATACTTTAACACTATTACTTATCCATTCGCGCATGAGTTATCCTATACCCGATGGCGATGGGTTTTGAGGCATGAAAGAATTTATTGGTCGGTATTTTTCTCACTTGCGTGTTGACAGCTTTATAAAAGCCATGAGCCCGAGCTCGGAGAAAAAGCTAATAAATAAATAAGTAACACATGAAGAGATTGCGCAAACTCTCAGTAAAATTAACCGAGTCAATTAGTATGTACAGTAATATCGCACGCTATCTAGCTAGCATAGGGACGGGCAATTCATTAGAGTAACAGCTGGCCAGGCCAGGCTGTACTGTGTTGATCATGATTCTGATTAAAATCTCTCTCTCAATGTATACTAATGGTTATATCTTATTTCAGAGAAAGAACAAATACACGGAGGCCAAGCTGAAAGCACTCAAGGCTAGAAATGAGTACATTCTTTGTCTAGAGGCGTCCAATACAACGATTCATAAATATTTCGTTGACGACCTGTCGGATCTCATTGATGTAAGTAGACGGGATAACTTATTTAACTAACATGTGTGTGGATACAAACGTAAAGTATGTATTTAAATTGATGAGTTCATTGCTTCTATTTCCTCTTACGTTTACATGTAAATAAATTTTTCGCTGACGTTGATTGCGCTGACTCGATTTATTTGTTTTTTTATTTTATTTGTCCGTATATAGACTATATTTATGTTTGTGTTTTTATTTGCAGTGTATGGACTTTGGGTTTCACAATTGCATCGCACGGGCATTGTTGATGCACTGCAGCGCGGAAGAGGGAAGACAGCGGTCGCTGCAAACAAGCGCCGAGCAGCTGACAAATATTATTAACGCTCTGGATTCTCGTGCAGACAAACAGCGTTTTCTTGAATCACATCACGCGGCGTTTATGATCCCCAAGAAGTTTGAATTCCAGTGCCAACGAGGTGATGAAACTCCCGAACCAGAATTACAGAAGATACTACACTCTGAAATGGAACAACGACTGGGACAATTGCAGCAACGCGTTACCTCTCTCAGAACCGAGTCTGAGGAGGTGTGGAAGACCTTAGAGACCGCTGAGGCTAGTCTTTTAGAAATGCTTACTGCCAAGGACTACGATTGCTCGCGATACTTTGGTGAAAACTGCATGCCAACCTCCAGGCCACCTGAGACTGTTCAGATCAAATTACGCGCTGACAGGCAGGAAACCGAAGAATTTTATCTTACGGTATTTTTTTTATTTTATTTTACTTTATTTAATTATTTTTACACTCTATATTATGTTGTTACTTTTATTTCAATTATAATTTATATTATTAAGAGAAAAGGAAAAATTTTGTGTCCAGGATAGTCATATGATAAAGTCGGTTTTTTTAAGTGAAATTTAGTGTCATTGCAAAGGTCTTGATTTTAATTTGTGCCTTTTCAAGGTTTCAAGTCAATTGATGAGAATAAGTATTTAGGCTGCATTTGAAAATTCTCTGTCTCTAGATACATAATTAAGAAATGACCTTGTATCTCGTGAACTATTGACATTTTTAAAGATATAAGCTCATTTCTATGTTATACTCATCAATAGCTTTCATTTGAGTACCCACATCAATTTTTCATATATTTATATATATATATATATATTATATATCTATATATATGTATATATGAAAAATATATGAAAATGCATGTGGGTACTCAAATGAAAGCTCTTGGTGAGTGTAACATCAGGATGAGCTTATATTTTTAAAAACATCAATATTTCATATATTTATATATATACTATATATGTATATATGGAAAATATATGAAAATGCATGTGGGTACTCAAATGAAAGCTTTTGACGAGTGTAACATCAGGATGAGCTTATATTTTTAAAAACATCAATAATTAAAAAAGTACCGTGCAATTTAATAAAAAGGATTTCCTTAATAAAGCGAAATTTTATTATTTATACTTCACTAGTCACAGCAGTCACATAGTGACTGCAAGGTTGCTAGTTAGAATATACGAGTGTAAAATAGAATCAAGTGTTTTAAATCTGTCTACTGATATTTTTATTTTATTTTTCCCCTGTAGAAATTTCGAGAATACCTGCTTGGAACATCGCGAATAGCCAGACTCGACGCTAAGCAAGAGTACATAAGGCAAAGTCTTCAAGACGGCTCCAATGGAAGCCCAAATCCTTCCATCACCACGTCTAAGCAGAAACAAGCGCGTAGAAAGAGAATTGGTAGACTGCAGATGAACGGACAGCCAAAGTTATTCGGTGGTTCTTTGGAGGAGTATCTCGAGAGCACGAATTTAGAGATACCTTTAATAATGAAGAGCTGTATAAGGGTTATAAATCTGTACGGTCTTCATCATCAGGGCATATTTCGAGTGTCTGGCTCTCAAGTTGAGATAAATAACTTCAGAGAGTGGTTCGAACGGGGTGAAGATCCACTTGCTGACGTGACAGATGCCTCAGATATTAACAGTGTTGCCGGGGTGCTAAAGTTGTACTTGAGGGAATTGCGTGAACCACTCTTCCCTATTATTTATTTCGAGCATCTAATGGAATTGGCGCAGCTCGAATCTAAGCATGAGTTTGTCTTAAAAATGAAACAGTTGATATCGAGTCTGCCGAGGCCGGTTGTTATAGTAATGCGATATCTGTTTGCCTTTCTTAATCACCTCTCGGAATTTTCAGACGAAAACATGATGGACCCGTACAATCTTGCAATTTGTTTCGGGCCGACTTTGGTGCCAGTGCCCGAGGACAAAGATCAAGTACAGTATCAGAATCAAGTTAACGAACTGATTAAAAATATAATAACACTCTGCGAAGAAATATTCCCTGATGATATCGGCGGGATTCAGTATGAAAAATACATCAGCCGAGAGCCTGACGATGTGTAAGTAATTCACTGGCAGAGTACAGCTTTTATATTTGACATTTGACATAAGTTATGAAGTATATAAAAAATATTTGACACTTGAAAGACAGTTTGGTTACTATACTCATACTGTGTGATGTATAAATTGAATTTATTTTATTTTATAGCGACGTTGGTGACTCTCCAACAGATCAGGTTCAAGAAGATATGGACTCCGAAGTGTATCCATCAGAAGATGGTGAGTAGTCTCGTTGTTTTGTCCATTTATTCATATGTTTTTTTAACTCTGTCAATATATTCTGTATGAAACATAATATTTAATGGCGCAAATATGTTTTTTGTCGTTTGTCAGAGTCTGAAAACTTAGAAGCAACAGCACAATTCGACTTTAACGCCCGATCTGAGCGTGAATTAAGCTTCAAGAAAGGCGATACTCTGACACTTTATATGCAAGTAAGCTATGACTGGTGGCGTGGCTCCGTGGGCGGAAGAGAGGGTTTAATTCCTGACAAATATATCATGCTCAAAATCAAGTAAGTACTTTCCTTAACTTTTAATTCAATGTACTGTTTATTATTTTTTATTGTTGTTCTCTCATTCGATATTCATTATTTAGATTTAGATTTATTTATTTATGCCAAGGTCCGCTGGCCAAAATGACATATATAAAAAATACATGATAAATAAAAAAAAAAAAATATAAGTATACAATATCATGATTAACTTACTCTAAAAAATTTTCAACCATACTATTCGTATAACTTAAATTAGATTAAGAATAATTACATACACTGATAGAAGGATTTTTTTTTTGTATTTAATAAGCTTTATTAATTGTTAATAAATGATTTTTTAATATCATAGGATTTAATAAATATTTATTGAATGTTAAAAAATATTTAGTAAATTAAATAATTGTCGTCAAATAAATTAAATTTTTAATAGTTAATAAATCGTTCTATCAGTGTACACAGAAAGAAAAAGATGACACTGGATATTATCCCAGACTAAAATTTTCTTAATAAAAGTATTTTTTTTTCTCAGTGTACAGATATCACTGAGTATAATCTGGGATGATATCCAGTGTCATCTTGTTCTTTCCGCGTAGATAATCGAATAAAAATTCATTTATAAAATTTTTCTAATAATAATAACAAAAATAAAATTTACACTCTTACTTTTAAACAATTTAAGAGTATTAATTTAAACTTCAAGCATCAAAATTTAGAAAAATTATTATAATACATGGACTAACTTAACGGGTGATGTAATGTTGTTTCAGGGACGAAGAGCGAGACAAAGAGCTATTGAAATCATCAAGCGAAGAATCGATGCGACGTAGAGCTTCGAGTTCCGCAGACAGCGCGCCATCGAGTAACAATTCGCCATTGATGGCACCAACGAATAATCCAAACGCGTGGCCGAACGTCAACACGTCGGATATTATAACAACGTCGTCTTCCGGTACTGGATCTCTGCTGCATCACTCAGACGTAATCAATACCAACAGCTCTAGCTCTGTGATTAGCACCTCGAGCAACAACGTCATACCAGCTACGGCGATGGCGAATGCAGTTAATACTTGCATCTCGTCCTCTCAAGCGATCATCAGTCGAGAGGTATTGGAAACCACCGTTTAGCACACATCAATATTTATTACTATTTATTAATTTTATTTGTTGGTTGTTTTATTTTATTTTTTAATTTCTTAATATTTATGTATATTAATTAAATTAATATCTCGTTGGATGACGTTTCATGAGCCTCGCCGACCGCAAGGTGCATGTTACTCGTTTCCCGCAAGCTGTAAATTAAATCAAGACGTTATAGTTGATGTTACTAAACTAGATTAATTAAAAAAAAAAAAATAAAAATAAAATAAAATACTAAAAAATGATAAATAAATAAAATAAGCCGCGAATTTGTGGCTTATCGTGTCAAGAATGCATTAATGCGACTGCACAATTATGCACTGCTTATATTTTATTATTACACGCGTGGTTTGCAATGCCATTACATATAATAGCTTCTTATATTATACAGTGGTATATTTATATATATTTAAATATATACGTACTTATCTATGTCTATATTGTCTATATAAATAAGAGCGGATCAGTAACTCATGTAAAAGTGAGACCGACTGCTTCTTCCTACGCCCACTTGATAAGACTGAATTTTAAATTCAATAATAATAATAATAATAATACACACTTTACGACAATTTACAATTACCACTGCTACTTTAACAGAACAATTACCATTACTTTTAATAATAAACACCACAAATGGAGTGATTAAACCCTAGATCTAGTTTCTAGTTTATTTATTTATTCTCAAGATTCGCACAATAAATTTTAGCTTATAACACATTTTGTATGATAAATTTGTAAATAAATTACTTAGAAATACAGCAAGAAAAATATATATTAAATAATAAAAATAACTAATATAATTAATTAAAGATAAATAAGATCTGCTGGATTATGTGCTCTGCATGTTTTATAATTATTCTCTACAACTTAATTCTCTGCGCCTTAATATTTATCATGAAATTATAAATCATGATTTATTATTATAAAAAAAGCTACCACTCATGGACAACCTTTTACTTTTTTTTATTGGTTGGGTTTTTTTGTTTAAAACTATATTTTTCCAGATTTATGTTTAGTCAGCGTGTTAAATCGACTAGCACCTGGCACCTGAGACACCTCTATCACGAGGGTCCCGTTATTTTAAATTGGACGGAATAACTACTCAACGCAATACTAAAAACTGTTCGACAAAACTGCTACCTCAGTGTTTTTTTTTTTTTATTTTGTGTCTTACTGTGTGCGTGTGACCCTAATTTTGTTTTGTTAATTAATTTTTATTTTATATTTTATTAATATCAATTAATTACTATACTATTATACTACTATAACTACTACTACTACTACTACAACTACAACTACTATTATTTATATATTTAATAATTGTTAATAACGTTTTGCGTTACTATTTGAATACGTTAACACTTGGATTTAATTGTTAATCACGGAGGGGAGAGTGGCGCATTGACTGTTCAGTTGGTTTGTGAATCCTAGAGTCCTGTAGAACAAATTCAGTCTGTAGATGATGATGATGATGATGATGATGATGATGAGCTCACCAAAAGGAATAGAAATCTTGTGACCAAAGGACACATCTTAGACAATGGATTGTCAGTGACTCAAAGTCTAGGTGAGTAAAGTCACGTCATTATGCAGACCACTCCCCCCTTTCCAGACCCCAACACCCCCTTTATAAATTTTCTTCGCATTTCATGCTAATCCTTATTACATATAATGAACCTTTGTCAAATAATTATTCAATCATCGACCACACCCGCAACCCTCAGAGATAAATCCATATAGGTATTTACATATATTTACCTTTCATATATTATTATTATTACAATAACATATGCATCAATTAGAAGCGGCTCAGTTTTGCGAACAGTTTTTTGCGATTAAATACTATTATTATAGTAACAAGCATGTTCTACTATCTTATTAACTTAAATAAAAAGTATTTACAATAAATGTTAGCATGATCTTAGAATTTTCTTCTTCTTATGGTTTCTCAAAGCTTCCAGCTATTCCTAAATTTATATTCTTCTTTGATACTGAAAGTACTATTTATTTAAAAAAATTTTTTTAATCTACATTATTTAGAGGATAAGCAAAATTTTTTGGCCAGTGTATTTATATGATAAAATCGGTTTTTTTAGTTAAATTTAATGTCATTGCAAAGGTCATGACTTGAATTGGTCAAGGTTTAATATCATTCTCACCAATAGTCAATTTATAATGATAAGTATTAAGGCTGCATTTAAAAATGCTTTATCGCTAGATACATAATTAAGAAATGACCTTGTATCTTGTGAATTATTGACATTTTTAAAGATATAAGCTCATCCTGATGTTACATTCATTAAGACCTTTCATTTGAGTACCCACATCAATTTTTCATATATTTATATATATTATATATATGTATATATGAAAAATATATCAAAATGCATGTGGGTACTCAAATGAAAGCTCTTGATGAGTGTAACATCGGGATGAGCTTATATCTTTAAAAACGTCAATATTTAAGAAAGTACAATGCAATTTAACGAAAGCCTTTATTTAATAAAGTAAAATTTTTTTTATGTATAGTTTACAAGTCCACACAGTGACTGCAAGGTTGCTAGTAATAAAATAGTTAAAGATTAATAAAAAATTTGACTTTCAGTATCATCTTCTTGCTTTTTAATAAATTTATTATTAATTTTATTGTTATTATTATGATGATTTTTATTATTTTTATTATTATTATTTTACTTTAAATATTTTATTTAATAAAGTAACTTTTAAGTAAATCTAAATAAAAGCGACAGTGACTCATACAATTTTAATTTGGTATTCTAGGAACAGACGTCAGTGAACCCGAGCAAAATGACATCGAGTCCAGGAAACGAGAAAATACACCCAACGGATCAGTATCATCAGTCGAGCACACCGAACGACGAGAGTGAGAGCGTAAATGATTTCTTGGATTCGCTTTCAACGATGAGCGAGCAGGCTAATCTTGACGACGTAGACGATAATAATCAAGAGCACCAAGTGTCATCAATGAATGCGGGTGGACTGAGAGGGTCTGGTCGGAAGCAGTGGAAATCCCAGACCCTGACAGAGACCATCAGCAGCCAGCCGTCTCTACACTTGAACGATAGCGACAACAACGACGAAGATAACAGCAAAGAAGCTACAACATTTTCAGCTAACAGAGAATTGTGGCAAAAACGAGCCAACTCACAGACACAATTGACCCCACCAGTTCCTCCCACGACGCCGAAGAACTTCCGCGCTTCTCAGGAATTCCGGGAGATGCGTCAAAAGCACACCCCCGACCTGGTAATGGATCTTCCTCTGGCCGCGCAAGACGCCAGCAAAAAATCAGCTTCCTCCAGCAGCTTAAACAGTTCCGACGATGAAAATTCTTTAGCTCCACCGACTCGCAACGGCTCGGAAAAATCTCCGAGCAATGGACCCGAGTCTCCGGATATGAGCACCGCCGCCGAGCGGTTCGCCAAGCAGAATCAATGCACGCTCAAGAAGAATACCAAGTCGGGGAATACCAACATCTCGAACAATTTAACGGACACCGGCAGAATAAAAAGTCTGGTAGGCACTGACGGGGAGATCAACGACCACGTTGGCAATTTAAAGGACAATATTGTCAGATCAGCTAGCAATAACGAAATTTCTTCAGACAATGTTCCGTTACGTTCCCCGCTGCCTCCCCGGTCGACCCCGCTGATCGCCGCTAAGTTCGCGGACATGCGGCTTACTGGCGGGAGCCAACAGGTCTCTTCCTTCAAGCCTCAGGTTAAGGTCAAGCCGACCATTCTCCGCAAGCCGACCGTTCCCTTCCCTCATCCTCACATGAGTCCTGAGCTCGCGAGAAAAATTGAGAAACAAGTTCAGGGTACTGATTAGGATTTTTAAGATATTATTTCGTACTTTTTATTACATTATTAATATAAAGGCTTCCACGTTTTTTACCGCATTGATGACGAATGATTACAATAATATGAATGATCATTTATATTTAGTATTAGATTAAAACAGAGTGCTTGAGGATGAATTTTTTATGACATTAAAATTAAGATATTTTCATAAGTTTTTAAATTTTAATGATAAGATAAGAACACCATTTTATAACGCAATTTTTTTTTTTCCGCGGTTTCTTTTCATCTGACCAATCCGCCCAAATAATCTCGCGATAAATGGTAGAATATATTATTGTGTATTGAATGTATGTTATGATTTAATTATTTTCTTCGTTTGCCAATTATTTGTTTTTTTAATTAAATCACTAGTGTTAAAATACCCAGTTGTATTATTTTTTTACCAAATGAATATACAGCACGATCTTTTCTAGTCGTATTTCACTGTATTGACTCTAAAAGTAAAAAGTCAAAAAAAAATTACATCGAAGTTAAATTCCGCTATTATTTTAGGCACGTAAACTAAAAATAAAAATTATGTAAGCTCGTGTATTATATTTTATTGAAATATTTTAAAAGTCATTAAAAATACCACGGTGTTAAAACTTTAATGTGCGTACTCACGTCTATTGAAGTTGTAATTTTGTAGGCGTTTTTTTTTTTTACGGCTTATTTTTATTTCAAAAATAATAATCTTAAATAAATACGTATATATGTGTTATTAAATAATAAATGGTGCCCAATAGTAGCAGAGACTAGAATCTCAATATATATTATTAAATATTATCTTATTATTGTATACGACCAGCCAATGTTCGATATATATATATATTCCTTATAAATTATCACAATTATTGTTACTATTATTATTATAATTTTTATTATTTTAATATTACTATGCTACTATAATTATTAATAATAAATAATAAAAAGCGAATGTAATTGAGACAAATCTCATCGAGACTGGGTGATAGCCGATTGGCAAAAACCGTACTAGTTTGTAGCCACTCTTCCCTTTTTTAATGAAACAAACAGAAATTATTATTAAAATATTTAAGAAATAGACCAGAAAAATTTTTCCAAATAGTTTTAAATAATAAAAATAATTTTGTCACTTATACAATTCGATACTTTACAACGATTAGTAAAAAAAAATCTAATACAACATATTTATAAAAATATATATTTAAGTAAATCATTTATAATTGATAAATCATATATTCATATATAACTTAAAAATGTATACACTTGAATATAATAAGAAAAAACATATATTCTTTGAGAAATGTTTCTTCGAGACATTTTAGCGGCTCGTTTTATAAAACAAGAGTTGGAAGATCACAAATGGTCCATTAAATAGTTTATTAATTATTAATAAAGCACTAACGCATCGGTGCGGTATTAATTATTATTATTATTAATAATCTATTGATATTCTTATTAGTAATTATAATTACTGTATTAATTAATTGGCTATCAAATAGATAAAATTTGTATCCCACCGCAATAATAATATAATGCGTAATAATATTAATTAACGATAATAAACCAAAGCGTTACAATAAAAAGTAAACCCCTGCCGCTTATTTTCCCCATTAAAAAAAAAAAAAATAAATAATTGTACGATATATTGTTGGTCTTATAAAATATCAGTTTGTTTTTAAATTATTTTATTTAATATTAATTAATAATTCATTAAAGATTATTAATTATTAATTGTATGTGTAAAAAATTAAAAGAAGAAATCATTTTATACTTTTTCTTTGTAATGAGACGAATTAATACTTGTTTATAATTATAATTAATTATTAATGATTAGTTGTATGAAGATTGGTGTGAATATGATTTTAATTAATTAGTGATTTATATTAAATATTATATTAAATGACGTAATTAATAATTGGAACAAATATAAGAAGAAACGAATTATATGCGAATATTAAACGGCTTTTAATGCTAATGTTATAATTAAAAGCCAGTAATAATAAAAATTATATTAAATATAACTAATAAAGAACAGACTGTAATAAAAAAAAAAAAAATAAATAAATAAATAAATAAACATGCAATTGTCTATTTGAATTTTCCCTCTTATCTTGCACATCGGCCATATCAGCTGTTAACCAAAAAAAAAAAATTCTCGTTATTTATCTGAGCTTCGTTTAATATTACGTCAGTTGTGACAAGCTAAATTCAAGTTAACAAACCCGTCAATGATTAATAATTATCGTAATAATAATAATAATAATAATAATAATATTTAAAATATTATTATTGTTAATAAATAATATCGCTGCATAATGCCTAAATTTAGAATCAGAGGTGTGGTTATAAAATCAATAGCAAGTGTTCTCATTTATTTCAACTTTAACCTGAAAAATTAAATATCAATATTTAAACATTATGTGATTAAAATACATTTTAAGTAAGTTTTGTAGATTTATTATCATTGAATTTTTTTTTTTAATTAAATTTATTTATTTTAAGGTATGAATTTACAACAAATTGACGTATTTATTAGCAGAATGTCGTAGAAATGGAGGTAATAGATATTTTAATGAACATATTTGGTCAAGATAGTATTAATGAGTTTGACATACCAACAAGCACTAAATCTGACGACAATTCCAGGTAATTAATTTTATTTTTATTTTTTTTATTATGAAAATTAATTTAGCAGATATTTGATAATTTTTTTAATTTTTTTAACAAATAAATTATGGCAAAAAAAAAAAAATAGAAAAACAAATTGACATGTAGAAATTTAAAAAAATAAAAAATGCAATTTTTTAGAAATAATTTTTCGGAGCAAATTTATCTATTAAAAAATGATCAAAAGACTGCTAACTTTAATGTCATTTATTTATTCCATTAGTTCATGACATTCAAGGTAGCTGTACTGTCACTTGACAATTTTTTAATTTTATTTAACAAAAAGATTTTTTTCAAAAAATTATTTTTAAAAAATTGCATTTTTTATTTTTTTAAATTTCTAAATGTCAATTTTTTTTTCTTATTTTTTTGCCATAATTTAATTGTTATAAAATTTTTAAAATTATTAAATATATGCTACATTAATTATCATCATTAGTTCAGTCTCTAAATTTAAAGTTTAAGTCCATCAAATTTTTTTTTTGCCATTTAAAATAATAATTCACTAAAATTTTAAACTTGGAGACTTTTTATAAAAAGTAAACCAACCTAAATGTTAAATAACCATAAAAATTTTTTAACAGAATCCAGCAGAGCCTCAGCTTTGCCGGAGAGTACATTCAAAAATTTCTGGTGGAGGCGAACAAGAACGAGGTAGTAGAAGACACTCGACCTGGTAGGATAGGTCCAAAGCTAGTACGTTTTGACGTATCAACGCACCACGGTCTCATAATAGTGTCTCCAGACCGACTGAGTGTAAATTCTCAGAGTAACTTCAGCACCCTGCGGGCAAACACCGGTTTTTTCGAGGGAAAATGGATGTACGAGCTACAACTGGGCTCAAAGGGAGTAATGCAGGTAGGCTGGGGCACGGCGCAGTGCAAGTTCAGCCAAGAAAGCGGAGTAGGTGACACCGTGAACTCGTATTCCTATGACGGGAACCGCGTGAGGAAATGGAACGTCTCAACCTACAACTACGGCGAGCCGTGGTTGTCTGGTGATATAATTGGCTGTGCATTGGACATGGACGAAGGAACAATAGACTTTCATCGCAATGGCAGACACCTGGGACGTGCATTTGAAAATATTCCGATGGGTACGGGTATAGCATACTTTCCTACTGTAAGCCTAGCATTCACTGAAAATTTAACCGCTAATTTCGGATCAACGCCACTGAGGTACCCCGTGGACGGGTACCAGTGTCTGCAATTAATTCCGCATGACCAAGTAACAAAAGCGAGCATGCTTATTAAGTGGCTGGGGAATTTATTGACAATGATTGAAGAGGACACCGATAATAACAGCTGTTCCGGATTCGCTGAAAAAACAATGAGCAAACGAACGTACCTGATGTGCATCGCTAGATTGCTTATGCATGATCTAGGTCCTCTGCTTACAATACCCTACATAATAGAGGCTGTCTTCCTGCCATTCTTTCATCAACAACTAACTCCCAATAATCACTCAACTAAAATTAGTCAAAATAATGTTATCAATAACTCAAAAGTCAATATATTATTAGATATACTCTGGACATTTTTAGAAGAACATGAGATAAAACTGTGCCTCGAGAACAGTGTTATTTATTTGCTCTCAATATTTCGCCACGTGTCAATGCTTCTAGAGTACCCTGATCAGTGTAAAAGCTTGCTGATACTTACAAGCCTGTGTCGGCACTCTAAAACCCGTCAATATTTGCTGCAAAACATCTTGTTTGACAGAGTAAGGTTCGCCAACTTTGTTCACGTAAAGCCGCTAGACGAGGGCGGCCTGGCCGAAATAATCCCCAAGACCTGGTGGGAAACAAATCCTGTTGACACCTCCGTCGAAGTTAATCGCGACAGCTACATGCAGTCTTGTGAGACCATCAAAGCTGCTATTGCTGAAATAGAAGCACTCCAGGTTGAGTTGCTGATAACTTTCTTAGACAACACCGACGGGACACCCAAGACACCCTCCTCCCGTACGATATTTCTCAAGAAATTCCGTAGGTTTGTTCAGGATAATTTAATATCAAGCCGTACGCCTTTGCAAATAACTGTCTGCTGTTTCCACCGATTGCTGGTGGCCTTTCGCATTCTCTGGGACTCAGAAGTCGGTACCAGCCCGATTTACATTCCTTGCAAGCTGTTCTACGACGGGTCGATTAATTACACGGGAATTGACAGGCTCGGTGGAGTGCTATCCTACCTCAATAAAACGTACAAGAATGAACTTATCCATCATCTTGGACCCGACCATGAAGTTATCACGGCAATGGAACAAGCTGCTCAGGATCCGACTGCTACCAGTACATTTATGGCTGGTCCAGGTCATATTAATGAGTTGCCAGTGGTGATTCCTACCTCAACGAGAATGGTCAATGTTGGCAATCCAGGCACGCCGTTGACGCCGCTGATTTTAGGGTACCCTACGAGTGGGTTTACTCGAGAAGCAAGAACCACTCCGATGAAAGTTGGCTCAGCAGACTCCGTAGTGTCTCTCCTCGAATTATTGGAAGGAATAATATTGTTCTACCACGCCGCTGCTAAGAAACAAGTCGCCAAGGTTGCTAACTTGAGAGACAGTATGACAGAATATATAACAGCGATGTCGGAGATGAAAGGCAGGATTGACAGTACTAAAAAACAGAAGGATCCAAATTCACAGTCAATACACAAGGAATTAATACGTACTGTTAATGTTTTTAGTACAAAGTTATTTGAACAAGCTAGACACATGGCTTGGGTTCGCGCCGCAGTTTACTCGGAGGAAAAGCAAGCGCAGTTGGCTTGGTTGCTCAAAGTTGTTTTGCTGACGTTAGGTAAGGCTAATGAAGAGGGAAATATGTTTAGGTTCGTGCCTGATTTTTATTTGGAAGCTCTGGCAGACTTGAGCGTTGGTTTGAAGAATCATTTGCATCCTACGGTACCAATTGAAAAAATTCCAGGTTATCAGGATGTCCTAAAAGATATTGCCCAGTTTCTTTGTGATCATTTCTTGGACCCACGAATTGTTCACGCGATTGCTAAAGATACTTTGATTTTAACGCTAGCTGGGTTCACGTCCAACTCACTGACTCTTCAAGCCTTGGAACAAATTCCCCGGGAGTCGAGAGTTAAATTTGTGAGTAATATTCTGCGACCTTATGAAAATCGAGCTTGGGCTCAGTCAAATTGGGTGCTCGTGAGATTCTGGCAAGGAAATGGGTTTGCATTTAGGTATGAAAAGAGTCCGCATTTATCAAAAAAAGTCGGCCCTAAAATGCTGCAACAGGAGTCGATTTCACAGCCAATAAAACCATGTCCGTCGCTGGTTTATCAAACGCATGTCAAAGAACTACTTTTAGAAAATTCAAAAACAACGACGCAGTTTTTGAACTCGCTGCTCAATCAAATGAACTGGGCATTCTCGGAGTTTATCGGAATGGTCCAAGAAATTCACAACGTATCTTCCAGGCCTGAGCGAGTGTTCATAGAATCAAGGCAGCTTAAAATATGCGCAACGTGCTTTGATTTGACGATATCCCTGTTGAGAGTTGTCGAGATGATTGCAACTGTGGCGCCGAGTATCTTTAACAATCCTCAGCAGTCATCTGGAGACAATTTGCTGGCGCGACTCTGTCAATTGCTCTGTCAGATTCTTAACAGAATAAGCTCTCAGACGAGCTGTTTCCAGCATGTCGTGCTGTTGAACATCCCGGACTTGGACACTGTTGATCACTTTCCAATTCTGGTCGCTGTGGTGGGCATTCTCTTGGCTCTGCTTCAAGATGACATGGCCAGCGGCCAATCAAGCAAAACTGGCGAGCAAGTTCCCCGAATCACACGGACTCTCTTGACAGAGCCGAGCTTTCAAATGAACTCTCTGTACTTTGTCGTCGGAGAAGGAGCTACGAAAAATAGTAAGCTAAAAAATGTTAAAGTATTTACACTGGAAAATTACAAGAATGACGTGAGCGAGCGGGAGATAAAACGTCTGAGAGATATGATTAAGTACTTGGATAAAAAGCGTACTCTTCTACCCGACAATCGCATAATCAGCGACGACGACGATACTTGTACTATATGCTACGCTTATCCTATAGGTGCAATTTTCAAGCCTTGCAACCACAAATCATGTCGCGCATGCATCGACCGGTATTTGTTGAACAGCCGTGAATGCTTCTTCTGTAAAACAGTTATTATGCAAGTGTATGATATTGATGATGCACTTTTGCACGATCTAACCGCCTCTAGTCTTAATCCCTCTAGTTCCTCAAGTATATCGTGATATTTAATATTGTAAAAAAAATCGTTTTAAAGATAATGAGATTATTGATTTATTAATATATATAAAATTTATTTATGCTAATATTTTACATTTATTTATTTATTTATAAATAACTCATTCACTTTTTATCACAATCTCCTTGTTCCTCACTCTTCAGTCTAAATATGGAAAATTTATTTATGATTATGAAGAAAACAAATTATTCATGAAAAATCTTAGTTAGCTGACATTTAAAAATTTTTAGAATTTTTTTTTTTTCATTGATAAAATTATTACAAAAACATTAAAAAATTTTTAGAATTTTTTTTTATTGAAAAAATTATTGCAAAAAAATTTAATTTGTAAAAAACTTAAAAAACTATAAGTGCAATTTTTTAAAAAAATTTTTTATTTCTTATTTAATAAGAGAAAAAAAAATTAAAAAATTGAAAATGTCGGCTAATTTCAATATTATTAATTTTCTTCATTTTTCACAATATCAATAATTATTATTATAACTTTCTACTTTTTTGGGATCTTCAAAGCGTATCGGTAGATTTTTCTGAATTTATCAATATTTTTAACATAAAAAAATGAAATTAAAAAAAATTATATATAATAAAAATTCTATAAAATTTTTACAACAAATTAATGATAAATATTATCTGGGATAAATGATGAGGTACGTAATATAATTTATAAATTCACAGCCTTTGTTTTTAAATGCATAAACTACCACCAAGACCAATCCTGACTCCTGTAACAAACTTTTTATCAACAGGAACTTGATATAAGTCTTCAAGTGCTTGAACAAACACTAAGCCACATACAAAACCGCCTAGAGCGGTCATAACAACAGCTACGACGATAAGAAAGCGGCTTTTGTATAAACGAAAAGCAGGATCTTTAACCAGGACACTTTGCAGTAAGCAAATCCCCGGAAAAATAAATATAAATGTTGCTGAGAGTGTTCCCATAAGATTGATAACAGGCGATATGTCGGAAATTACGACAGCAGCAAATAACGTCAGGATAAACCACAAAAGAGTCACAAAAGCTCTCACTGCAACGTTATCTTCAATTTCAGCGTGGAACAAACCCATTAGCGAACTCCGTCCACAAAAAAGTACAATCGGGTAGGTCGTAAAATTTTTTACAGCAATTGCAATTATCGCTATCGCGAGGCTTGCACTCTTGTCACTGTAGCCTTGCAGAATGTCACTGGGTACATGGCCCATGCCGAAGGTCTTGTAGCCGAATATTCCAACAATCGTGTAGGAGAAAAAACACAAGCCCATGCTTGCTATGACGCACCAGGTGAATTTGCCGAGATTTCGGTCTTTCATACACGCATAAGTCGGTATCGAAGTCATGTGAGTCTAAAACAAATAATTAATAATTAATAAATTTAATTTAATTTTGGATTAATTTTAACTAGCAACCATGCAGTCACTATGTGACTGCTGTGACTTAGAAACTATAAATAAGTAAAATTTTGCTTTATTAAATAATGACTTTTGTTAAATTGCACTTTACTTTCTTAACTATTGACATTTTTAAAGATATAAGCTCATCCTGATGTTAAACTCATCAAGAGCTTTTATTTGAGTACCCACATGCATTTTCATATATTTTTCATATATATATATATTCATATATATATATATATATGAAAAATTGATGTGGGTATTCAAATGAAAGGTCTTGATAAGAGTAACATCGGGATGAGCTTATATCTTTAAAAATGTCAATAGTTCACAAGATACAAGGTCATTTCTTAATTATTTATCTAGAGATAGGGGATTTAAACAAATAAAAAAAAATTAAAAATTAAATTTTTTTATAAATAATTTTCTAGACCCAGAAAAAAAATTGTAAAGTGTCTGCTAATTTCAATGTCATTAAAGAATTAGTTTTTTAAATACCTGGTAAGCGAAACAAATAATTGGGACCAATTGAAACGCCTGAGAAGCGTTTCGAGGCCATGCTTGTGTTGGTTTTGGATAATCCGGCGTGTTGATACTCTGATGAATAATTACCCATATTACGTAGACAATAGTGATGCATCCTACGGAGCTCACGTAGCTCAGAATATCCAATCGCTTGAAAAAACTTATCGGCAGAATAAAAAGTGTGCAGCTGACACATGTGATGAATGTCCGGGATAAAAACCTGCAGTCAATGAATGAGTGATGACTTTATTTTTTTTTTTTTAAACTTGAAAATGTAATTAATCATACCAGTGGTGACAGTAATCCGTTCCGTAGTAAGTTGCTAAAACACGCTCAAATTGGTCGCCAATGACAATTATAAATGTAAGACAACATCCGAAGCTGTAAATAGTGACACAGATCCCACACAATATCAAGGTTTTAGGTCCACAGAGTCCAGCAACAGTGTCTGGCATAGAGGACGTTTTTGTTATGTCACTGCAGTTTGCGAGGGTCACTAGCGCAATGGTGATGAATATTAAAAATGATAATTGAACTATTATTGCTGATATCACTCCACCAGAACGATCAAATGCCAAGGGAAAATTCAGCAATCCGGCTCCCAATGTCGCGTTTAAAAGTAAAAAGATTGTTCCTATTACTGTTGTACCTAAACAAAAAAAAAAAAAAAAAAAAAAATTAATTATAATTATTCTACACTGAGAAAAAAAAGTACTACTCTTGAAAAAATTTTCTTGTCACAAGAATATATATTTTTGATAATTTTCAAAAATATTCATTCTTGATAATTTCCAAGAATATATTTTCTTGTCTCAAGAATTGATCGAATTATTTTTTTTTTTAATTTTCAGTGAACCTATTCGTTTGTTAATCTATTAAAATTAATATCAAGATAGATATTGATATTCTTTTGAGCCAAGAAATTTTTTTCTGGACAAAAAATTTTTTTTTTCTTAGAGTAGTTAGAAATTAATAGGAGCAAGTTTTTATTACCTTCAGGATTAAAATTAGAACGAGTTGAACTATTATCAAATGCCACTTCAACACTGTTATCTATCAAACTGTATCCGTTTCTCCGTAAGAATCTCATTGCGAATGATGATAATACTTGTAACAGCCGATGTTAAGCTTTAACATAAATATCAAATTAGTAATTGCTCTTATTAAACATTGCTTCTTTAAAATGAGTAATTTAATTATCAAGCAGCTTGTTTTTGATACGTTTTAATACGAGTTCAAAGGTCTTGGAAATAAGAAAATGTAGAAAAAGAGAAAAAGTTATTTTAGCACACCGGATTAAGCAATACTATTTACCACATAATTATAAGTTATAATCTAATTGAGAATTATTTCAGTTCGAGTTAATATACTTATTAGATATTATTATTTTACATCATTAGAATAGGTCAACGTAAAATATGCTTCGCGCTAAAAAATAACTTATCGTTACGTTGAGCCAGTTGATTTTTCGTCATTTCATACTTTAATTTAACCGAAGATAATTATATACTTAGTATAATGTATGCAATTTTTTTTTTTTTAATAAAAAACAGGTTTTAATTTTTTTAATTTATATTACATTTATAATATATATATTATATATGTATAACTTTTCACAATGAGATGGCGCTTTGCCGACTTTTAAATTTGAACATTTGACGTTATTTTTAATTATAAATGATTTTTAGAATGTTTAAAGTTTTTTTAATTGATAAATACGACGATACTTTAAATACACACATAAAAATCGATTAATATTATTATTACTGTTGTATGTTATTATTTATTTTGATTTGTTGCTTGTATAGAGAAAATATGCGAAAATCAAAATATATGTATATAATCCTGTAGTAAAAATATGGATTTTAATTTTTTTTTCTAACATCTTAATTTATAGAGTATTTTTATCAGAAAAATCAGCCTGTAGTTTATTTAGACACTGAGAAGACGTAACAATTTTCCTGTTTTATCTTCCAGTGAATTGATCCAGATACCAGAACTTTTAGCTTTCTCTATTGTGTCGAGAAACTGTGCGTTTTTCAAGTGTTCTTTTAAAACATCTGAAATAAAAATAAACTTAATGTTATAAATTATCAACTAAAAAAAAAGTAATTATTTACAAGTGAGGTCCACCTTATTTTTTGCCATATCTAGGTGAAAAATTAACATTTTTCAATTTTTTTTATTCTATTTGTTTTACGGCACATTTATGATAAAAAAATGTCGTAAAAAAAAAAAAAAAAATAAAGATTTCGATAGCTTTTTTGCCTTCTAAAGTTGGAAAAAATTTTGGCTCTCATATTTTTGGATAAAATTTTTATTTTATCTTTTTTTTTATATATATTTTTTTGAAAAGTACATAAATTAAAGCAAATTAAAATGGGACTTCACTTTTAAATGTTTACCAAAAAAAAATGTTATTTTTAAATAAAAATAATATTACCTGACTTAATTAATTTAATAACAAAAGTAAGTGCATTTTCTACAATCGGTATCGCAAGACTAGAAGCACTTTCTTCAAAAAATTTCTTCAGTGCTTTATCGACTTCAGCCTCAACAAGTTTTTCTTCGCAATCTTTTAAAAACATGGCAGTAGTTACAGTTAAACTAAGAAGAGCTTCATTTTGCATTAGCGGGTGTATTGAACCCATCATCCTAACTAAATACTTAATAGCACCATGCTTGATGATCGAAGACACGACATCTTTATCACGACTGTTAATAATGATCCAAGCGATGAATCTATTAGCTTCCCCTTGAATACCCTGATGTTCTTCTATATTGCACCACTCAATGACTTTTTTCAAAAAATCTTCCCTTTTTCCAAGTATCGTAGCAGCTTCGCTCTGACCGTCGATGACGATTCTCAGCGTCCCAAGTAGCTTGAAGACCACCGGGAATGGCTGAATATCTAGCATAGGGTATACTACATCAATTAATCCATGAGAAAGCAATATTGGTTTATTGCTTGGTGCTATCACCAGATTACGAACTGCGCTGAGTAGTGCATGTTGTAAACGTATGTCTGATTCACTACTGCTATTTTTTACCAATAGTTTGAACAGTCGCTTGTGAACACCTTGAGCTACCATTAATTTACAGTGAGTTTCTGTGCGTGCAAAATTACCCATCGATAAGACAGCGGCTATTTGGAGATCTTCGTCGTAATCAGGGTCTAACCACTCGACTAATTTTTTGTATACATCTCCCTCGCTATTTGAATATAATACATTCATACTTTCATCTGTAAAAAAATGGATATTGTAAAATTATAAATTTTTTAATAACAAAAATTCTTATGACAATTAATTTAGCAGATATTTAATAATTTTAAGAATTTTATAGCAAAAAAAAATTAGAAAAAATTTACATGTAGAAATATTAACAAAAAAAAAAAAAAAAATCAATTTTTTAAAAGTAATTTTTGGAACAAATTTTTTTTATAAATAAAATTAAAAAATTGTTAAGTGATTGTTAACTTTAATGTCATATAAAAATAAATTGTAAATTATAAATTTTTAAATAATTGTTTTTTTGAGAACATTTTATTTTTTTAATTGGAATAAAATTGCAAGTGTCAAACAACTAGGCCAGTGTCAGTAACTGGGTCTTTTACCTCAATTTAAAGTAGTTAATAAATATAAAAAATTATTATTACCTCCAGTTAGAATTAGAACAATTAAATTACAAGCCATTTTTAAAACGGATCTTGTGTCTTCGTCTACACATTTAGGCACATGTTTTTCTAGTAATTGCATCAATAATTCACAAGTTCCTGCTTTTGCTAATAAAGTTTTTGCACTTTCTATAAAAAAATAAAATCAATTTTTAAGTAATTCTGGTTGATTAGAAAGAAAGTTAAATTAAAAAGTTTTACCATGCTCAGCTTGGACTTGTATTAATTCCAAACATAAAATAGAACGCTCAATAGCCTTCTCATCATCTAAAAGATTCACCAATACTTTAGTAAGCCTCTCATTCAAAAATATCAAGCCCGTTTCAGTTAACAACTCCAATGTCAGTAAAACATGCATTGCAGATGTTGAATTATTTGGTCCATCGATTTCTAATATGTTACAAGCTATTGAAATAAATCCTTGGTCTAATGCCTGAAATAGAATTGACATTAAATAAATTATCAATACTTATTGAGATAATAATAATTACCTCCTTTTGTAAAGTGCTTTGACCAACGAGAAAATTCAAAAGAAAACCAACAACAACGTGTCTCAAAAATGAAGCTCCTTCTACGTCACCTAAACTCACTGCTCTCTCTAATACTTTTAAAATACACTTTAGCCCATCGTTATCTTGAACCATTTTAGTACCTCGGACTAAAAAAAAAATTCATTGATTATTTAAAAGTAACTTTTTTTTTTTACATTGTATTAAATAAATAAAACTAAATACCATTATCGTAACAGATATTTCCAAGTGCTCGGGAAGCTTGTGTAAGAATATCAATGTTATCTTTCTGTAATAAATCCATCAATCCTTTTACTAAATTACTATCGGTACAATTTGTGCGACCATTGTCTGTTTGTGCGAATTCAGCAATTGTTTTGGCTGTTTTAGCGACTACTGCATCAGATTCATGGGACAAAAGTCTTAAAAATACACCACCATCTATTTTGAATTCTTCATCATCTGTAGAAAAAATGAGTCATTAATTCTAAAAAATAATTTTAATATTATTAAATATTCATGCTAGTGGAAATTCCAGATGCATGACAATTTTTTTTTTATATTCAGCTTAATAGTTTTAATATTTTAAAATCTGTTAACAATTTTTTTTTCTGTTTATAACAATGAAAATGATGACATTAAAGTTAGCTGTCGCTTGATCAATTTTTAATTTTATTTAACAATTAAATTAATTCATTGTCTTGTTGTTCATATCCATAATTAATTCATAAAATAATAGATTCACAGTTTGATGGAAATATTTATTTGATGTTTATTTAAATTTTCACAACGTTTCGTCGGTTTCCCGACTTCCTCAGGTGCTCAATTATTAAACATCGATTGTTAAAATCATGTTAAATGAACCAAGGCATGAATCTATTATTTTATGAATTAAATTAATTCTAATGAATTATTTTTAAAAAATTGCACTTTTTATTTTTTTATTTGTCATAATTTATTTGTTAACAAAAGTTCTAAAAATGATTAAATATTTGCTAAATTAATTTTCATATGAAAATGTCAAACTTGGAATATTTACAAAAAAAAATTAACATAGCAAAAAAATCATATTATTCTTCACATGCATAATTTATAACATTAAAATTAGCAGTCAAGACTTATTTTAATTTTATTTAACAAAAAAATTTGTTCTAAAAAATTATTTTTAATTTTTTTTAATTTCTAAATGTCAATTTTTTTTTCTCATTTTTTTTGCCATAATTTATTTGTTAGAAAAATTGTTAAATATCTGACAAATTAATTTTTATGCACAATTTTATGCTGTGAATAATTTAAATTAATTAAAAAAAAAAAAAAATTGTCAGCCGTCTGGTATAATATTACTATTGTCAATATTTTACTACCTTCTTCAGAAATTTCATCCTCTACTTCTTCAGATGTTTTATCATCTCCTTCAACATCTCCAGTCATTTCATCTTCAACATCTTCAGTAAATTTATCTTCAACTTCCAGAAATGAATTTAATATTTTGATATCATTTTCATTGTGCGTTTTGTCATCCTGTAATTTAACTACTTCCGTTAACTGTTCCACCAGCTTATCAATGTCATTGTTGGGTTTTTCTGTAAATACAAAAAATAATCAATATCCTTATCACGACAATATTGCAACAATTTATTGCAATTATAGGAATAAAAATAAACAATTAAATAAAGTAATAAACAAACCTTCCATAGTGAACTGTGACAGGGACTATGCATTCAAATAAATATGCATTTGATGTTAAATTCTAGATTATTAATTTATGTTCTAAGCATTTATTATCACTAGCTTAAATTATAATCCACTAATCAGCTGTTTACAGAAGTTATCATGTATCCAGGTTTAAAAAAAGACAACAAATATGGATATATGTTTAAAAAAAAATATCATCCGTAAGGTACCGGCCTCTTGAGACAAAGATTCGAAATAACATTTTAATTTAATTCCTTTTTGTTTTGTTTTTCGAGTTTGAAAATGGCTGCCTCTAACAAAATTTCGTCAGATCAAAATTTTAATATGGATAATGAATTTAATAAATTGTCAGTAAAAAATGATTCTGGATTAAGTAACAATAATAAATTTTATGGTAAGTTTATTTCATAAAAATTGTTATCAATTATTTTTAGTCATAAATTTACATTTGTTAAATCCTAACCTAATTTTTCGTTACTCATTTATTTATTTATTTTTTTTAATGTTTCAATCGATTAAATTTAATTAAAATTTTGTTAAAAAAAATTTTTTTTAATCTATATTGTTAAGAGAATAAAGAAAATTTTGTGGCCAGTGTATTTATATGATTGAATAGGGTTTTATGGTTAAATTTGGTATCGTTGGAAAAGTCTTAACCTGGAGTTGTGAATTTTCATGGTTTTATATTATTCTCACCAATAGTCAATTTATGATGATAAGTATTTAGGCTTCATTTGAAAATGCTCTATCTCTAGATACATAATTAAGAAATAACCTTGTATCTCGTGAACTATTGACATTTTTAAAGATATAAGCTCATCCTGAAGTTACACTCATCAAGACCTTTCATTTGAGTACCCACATCGATTTTTCATATATTTATATATTATATATAAATATGTATATATGGAAAATATATGAAAATGCATGTGGGTACTCAAATGAAAGCTCTTGATGAGTGTAACATCAGGATGGGCTTATATCTTAAAAAATGTCAATAATTAAGAAATGACCTTGTATCTCGTGAACTATTGACATTTTTAAAGATATAAGCTCATCCCGATGTTACACTCATCAA